CGCTCCTATTTGTGGGCAAACTTGCTGCAAGGAACAGTCGCTACGTTTGCCACTGGCAGTGACGGAGGCTGAGGGCTTTCCCGTCTGGGCCGCGTGTAAATGCACTGCTTTCATTGGGAGATTTGGGGTTCTGCTATGGTTTCGACTGGGCAGGGGCTCTTTCCTCTTTCTTGGTCCTTCAATATATCTGAGGCTGTAGCGGGGGGGAAGAAGGCCCCGTCTTGGCCCGTGCCTTCTCCTCAAGTCAGAAAAGATGCAGGACTGTCATTTGGCCCCAGTAAACAGGGGTGGCGGGCACCCCTGTCCTTTGGCTGGTCCCCAATCTTGCCGACCCAGCAACGTGCACAATCCCTCTGCCCTGCAAAGGCAGCAGCACTGGAGCGGTGACTGGCACAGAGACTTGGCTCGCGATGAGGCTCTCTCTGTGCTTTTGCGAGGGTGTCGATCCCCAGCAGATGGAGGACGTGTTGAGCATCGCCAAGTCTCCCAGGCTCCCAGAGAGTTCCCTGAGCTTTGGCGAGTTCTTTGGGCCCACGTGGCCCGGCATGTGAGTGGCCAAGTCCCCCAGCCTCTGGAGAGGAGCTGCCTTTATATTCTAACACGGCTGCGTCTCCATCCCAGGTCCCAGCACTCACCAGCCAGGACAGGTGGCCGGGCCGAAGTGGCCAACGCACTGCAATGAGCAGGCGCCCACCAGTTGAAGACCCCCTGCAAGTCTGCCAGCAGGACACGTCTCAGCTCCCCCCAAGTTGGTGACACTCGGTGCATCCAAGGGAGATTCTTCTTAAAGCTGTTCAACCTCCCCCAAAGCGTCGAAGGCGGTGTGTGACTGGTGGGGGGCACGCTGGTGGCGTCTCCCTTAGTGCAGGTTTCAGAGATGGCTCTCGCTCGGTTCCGTGAACGGCAGCGTGGTAGCGCGGGTTTTGCCGCAGCTGATGAGGGGTGCGAGTTAAATGAGAGATGATGTTTAGATGCTCAGCTAGCGCGGGGCACCCACACGGTGACTCCTTTGCGGCTGTGAGACCGCTTGGCACGGCGTCCAAGCATCTGAGCGTGCCCGCAAGAAGGGCACACGCTCCCCGAGGAAGCCAGCCTTCCTCTCCCTGGGCCGCCCTTGTCGCTGTCACCCAGCCAGCCGGCCATGTGGATTCAGCTTCAGGGCTCCAGCTGCCTTTTCGCCATCTCGTGTCATCTTTCTCCCTTTTTAATTTTTTTTTAAATTTCGGAAACAGTTCTCTCAGCAACCAGAAAAAAGCACACACTTAATTACAGCCCCGGCAGCAGGTGCAGGGGGCAACAAAACCGTGCCCCCTGGGGTATCCATTTAGTGCAGGAAGACCTTTCTCCTTATGTAGGAATAAATCCCTGTCCCACCTGCCACAGAGCAGCCGGGGAGCAGCCCCTTCTCTGTGCTTGCTTCACAGATAGAACTTTCTTGGTGTAGCATTTCCAAGGGTAATTGTTCCTTGCTTCTCCCAGATTTCTGCTAAGAATCTGTGAAGTGACTTGGAATCAGGGTGCTCCTTGGCTGGGTTCCAGTCTAATTTTCTTCTCTCTCTCTCTTTAAAAAAAAAAATAGTGAGAGTGGGTGGAATCCTGTTTTTCTTTAGTTTTCTTATTTTTCAGGGTAATCACCACACCAAGGGGGAGCCAGAGAAGTAATGGGTACTTGTGTCTGATTCTTCTCAACAGAAATATGGGTCGTGCTCAGAAATTCCAGATCTGCTGGAATGATTGCCCAGTTAGCATGCGTCTGCTGTGAGGCTTATCCAGTACTCGGATGTCTTTCCCTCTTGACTCTCTTACCACATCTGCTAGCTGACAAACAAACTTGGCTTTTTCTTTAAAATTTTTTTTAAAAAAATAGAAAAGCACAGTGCATTATATTTAGCCACAGGCGCACGGAGCGCCCAGCAGCAGCCTGAGTTTCCTTGGAAAACCAGGGCTCAGGCTCGCAGATGCCTCCCTGTGCATCCTGGCTGCCGGCTCGTGCATGCTTGATCCACATGAACCCTCCGTGCTGCCTCTGCCTAAACGCCCTGATCCCAGAAGCAGAGTAGCACGGCTCCCATGACGAGCACCGTGAGAGCTAGCCGGCGTTGAGAGCAGCCCCGGTCTACGTGCAGTCGGTTCCCAGCTGACAGACAGAATATGGGGTGGGCTTTGTCACCCGCACGCCGGGGCTGGCATGCCCAGCGAGGCTCGGGAGTGCACCGTGCCCAGACGCCTGCCGCCTCTCCCCGGGTCCCAGCCGCTGTCGCTGCGAGGGGCCGGGCTGCCCGCCTTTCCTTCCTTCCATCCGAGAAGGTTATATAATGAGCGGACCGCTGCCAAAGTCGGAGGGAAAATGAAGTCTTTGTTAAATGCCTTCACCAAGAAGGAAGGTAAGGAAGAACTGCAGGGAGCGCGGGGCACGGGCGCGGGAGGTTTCTCACGGATCCGCGGGGGGAGAGGAACGTCAGCTCCTCCTAAAATTGCTGGTTGTTCACCCGTCTCCTGCAAGGGCATAATTACTTGAGGTTCATGATACGGTTTTGTTTTAGTTGGTCTGGAATGTTAACACCGTTGAAGGTGCCCTTTTATTTTATCGTGTTTCTAAGCCTCCAGCCCCTTGCAGAATTGCAGTCCTGAACGTGCACCGGCAGTGGCTGTGCAGAGGCACATTAAGAACTAAGTCCTGTGGAACATAAAGGAAGTTTTGACTCCAGTCGGTCGGTTACCTGGAGGGCTGCTAAGTACTTGGTAGGCAAGGTCGGGCACATGGCTGGCTGCACCGAATGGGTGGACGCCCTTGGAGTTACTCTGCAGCTCTGCCTGGCTCTCTCGGGGTGGCATTGTCATGGAGTGGTTGGGGACTGTAGCGTGGCAGCCTTTAAAAGTGCATACGCTTCCTGTCATACCTTGCGTGGTTTTTATTGTTGGGGGAACATGTATAAATAAAGGCATGTAAGGCAGCTAAGAAAATATCCACCCACTTAAGAGTTTGCAGATTGCCCGAAAGAAGGAAACAGTTGGGTGGAATATTAATCATTTTCAGACAGGAAAAGAGTTATTTTTAACCCTTTTCGCAAAAATCATCATTTCCATGGATAGTTCCAGTTAGACGGTTTTGTCAGAGAGCTCTCGTTTTATGAAATCAGAAGGTTCATGAAGACGTTTCTTTAAAGAGATTAGGAAGGTACTTCCCAGCCTGAGTTCATCGTAAAATAAACACTGAAGAAATTTTAGTGCTCAGGAAACTAATTTAATATGAATCTTGGTAATTAAGCGAGGTAATTTTCATTAAAATGTTCACCCTGATGTCACCTATGAGATTCCATTTGAGTAATTTGCCTGGTCTTCAGGGTAAAATGTATTTGAAAATGTCCCAGCTATTTTATTCCTGAACCTCCAGGGGCGGCTTCCACACGTGAATGCTCCCCCCTCCACGTCCTCACGCCTCAGCCTGATTCTTAGGAATTCACATTAAAAAACAGCCTTTGTCTATGCCCATTCTCTTACGTTTTTCTCCAAAATTCACCTTCTGGGACTTCAATTTTTATCGTCCACGTACAGCATAAACATTTCAGGTGGGGGTGATGGTGTGAGCTTCATTCTCTATCCGTTCTGTTCTTTCATAGACTTGTCTTTCCTCCTGAGTTTACCTTAGAACTGGCAGGACTCCCCCCAGATGTCATCACTTGTATGTCAAGGACATTGATACCTTCCCCCATTACAGGGGTCAGAAAAAGAGAGCGGACCATTGGCAGGGGACAGGGAGGCTCAGTAGAAGGTAAAGCCGTGGGATGTCAGTGTTTCCTTGCTGGGGGGCTGGGGGCGTCTCCCCCACGTGGTTAGCGACCACCCCGGCCTCTCCTCGGGGTGCTCCAGGAAGCCGATGGCCTCTGTGACTGCCTTTTACTTGCTGTGTCGGCTTCAGGTTTTTGCTTTCATGCTAATATAGTGCTCCAGCCCCTAATCTCTGTGAATGAAAGATAATCGCTCTCTCAGATTGTGGGATCATCGGCGCCCTGTACGGTCCTTTAATCCCCACCTCCACCCCCAGATCAGGCAGTTCCCAGATCGCCCAAGAGCTCTCGCTGCCAGCAGCATTTTCCAAGCCTCGGTGATGAAGACTCAGTCATTCCACAGTTTTTTTAGCCTCTGCCTGCTCAGGGGGAGGACACCCATGTGGCTTGCCCTCAGGACCAGGAAAACGCAGATGTGGGGATCAGACCCAGGATGGTTTTGCCAGCAGGTGGGCTGCTGCGGCCTCCTGAGCAGGCTCCTGAGAGAGGCGCCGTGGAGCGCTGGCTTTTCCCACTCCTGGTCTCTCACCCGCCACCCTGGCTGGCAGGTACAAATTTGTTTGCTTTGAGGAAGTCAGAGCAGGTGAGAGCCCGGGCTGCTCGGTGGTGCCTCCGCCTCTGACAGAAATCTTCATGGAGGACGCGGGTGCAAGAGAGACTGTGCTGCTGCCTGGTGGGGGACCGGGACCTTCCCGGTGTGTCATTTCCCCTTCCTGCAAAGTGCACTGAAGTCCCCCTGTGCGAAGTCCACACGCACATCCACAGGAAGCCTCCTGCCGTCTTTGAACAGCTTCCTGGGCTTGGCTCCTAGCTCGTTTCCACGGGACTGTCCTGCGTCCTGGGGAGGCTGGGAAAGGGGCCATCCCCATGATTTCAGTCAGTGCCACCTCTGTCCTCAGTGAGCTCTGCCAGGGACACCTCTGTCCCCTTTGAGCTCTGCCAGTGCTATCTCTGTTCACTTTGAGCTCTACCAGAGCCACCTCTGTCCTTGTGAGCTCTGCCAGCACCTCCTCTGTCCCCGTGAGCCCTGCCATCCAAGGTGTGTGTGGGCAGGTAGCAGTCTCTGTGATGTACACCCATCCTTGGTTTCCATAATGTGTGTCACAGAGACCCCTGACCTTGGGCAGCCAGGGGTGGTAGATTGCCCAGTTCTCTGTCCTAAACTGTTTGTGACACTCCTTTGAGACATTCAGGTGCCTCCCCAGACCAGCTCCTCTGGAGGACACTGCCTCCTCCTGCTTTGTACCTTCCAATGTGCCACATGGAGGCCCTGGCATTGGGCAGGAAACATTAGAGCCACGTGTGGCTTCACTCCCCAGAGAGAAAATCCTGTGGCGGGTGGGAAAGCTGCCTTAGGCATCAGAGCCAGGAGGAAGCCCAGCGCCAGGGTAGGCAGGGCTTGCTGGCATCGACTCATGCCCCTGTGGCCTGGAGGGCACTTTCCTGGAGATGCTTCGTCTTGGAAAGGACATGTCCTGCTTCTGGCTCCAGCGCTCTGAGCAGCCCAGAGCAGCTACAGCATGGACACTGTCCCTCGTGTCTCCCGAGGGCAGTCATCGTCATTCTGAGTCCCTGGGCACGCTGAGCTCAGGAGAGGAAGAGCCTTCCCTCCGTCTAGAACTTCATAAGGAACCAGATAAGGTGTGCCCACCTCCCACGGTCTCTGGCCCCAGTTCCACAGGCTGCAGAAAGGAGCATTCTTAGTTGGGGTTGAAGTGGACTCGCTCTGACCAGTAGCCTTGAGGGCTGTATTAGTTTGTCCAGGCTGCTGTAACAAAGTACCACAGGCTGGGTCAGTTCAACAACAGAAGTTTACTGTCACATCCTGGAGGCCAGAAGTCCGAGATCCAGGTGTGGCAGGGCCGGTTCCTCCTGAGGCCTCTCTTCTTGGCTTGTAGGTGGCATCTTCTCCCTGTGTCCTCATGTGGTCGTCTGTGTGTGTGTGTGTGTGAGTGTGTGTGTCCTAAGCTCCTCTTCTTATAAGGACACCAGTCCTATGGGATCAGGGTCCACCCTAAGGACCCCATTTTAACCGAATTACTTCTGTAAGACCTTATCTGCAAATACTGTCACACTCTGAGATTGTGGGGGTCAGACCTTCAACAAATGAATTTGGTGGGGGACGGGGGTGTTCAGGCCAAGTTCAGATCATCAGGAGGAGGAGCTCTGTGGCCTGATGGCTTTATGAGTCGGGGCGGCCCATCCTTACACGTGTCAAAGCTGCCGGATGTCTTCCAGGGCTGTGGAAGGAATGGGCACCGGCCAGATGGAAGCTCGACCCCGAGTCCCTTCCATGTGAAGCGTTGGCTTGAGCTTCTGTGCAGTGGAGATGAGCTTAGTCTCCACCCGTCTCTGCTTCTGTGTCGGGGGTGGGTTCCAGGCCTCACGGAGTCCAGCTGTGGTCTCGGTTCCCCTCTCCTCAGCTCGCATGGGGGCCTGGACGCCCATGGCCTGCGCCTCTCTGGTGTCCCTGCTCGCTCGATGTGACACGGATGCACTCACCCACTTCCTCCCTGTTCTCTCCCACCCAGTGCCCTTCCGAGAGGCCCCAGCATACTCCAACCGCAGGCGGCGGCCCCCCAACACGCTGGCCGCCCCCCGGCTCCTGCTGCGCTCAAACAGCGACAATAACCTCAACGCCAGCGCACCCGACTGGGCCGTCTGCTCCACGGCCTCCTCCCACCGCAGCCTGTCACCCCAGTTGCTGCAGCAGATGCCCAGCAAGCCCGATGGCACCGTGAAGACCATCGCGAGCTACGTCCCTGGGCCCCGCAGCCGGTCCCCGTCGCTCAACAGGCTGGGTGGTGCAGGCGAGGATGGCAGGAGGCCCCAGCCACACTGGCACGGCGGGTAAGGAGTGGGATTGAGCACGGGGCTTCTGTGGGTACCCAGAGGGGAGACCTCCTTGTGCCGTGGTTCTGGTTCTCCCACCCGGGGGCTTGTGGAGGTTGAGCAGGAAGCCCTCCTACCCCTATGCCGAGAAAACGTTCGTGGCCGTGACAGCCCCGAGCAGGTTGAGAGGCTGCGCAGAGCGTCGTGGGGGGTGGGGTGCCACTGTATGGGGGCCTGGCTGCCTTCGCCTGTGCTTGGACCTTTCAGTCCTCAAAGTGACACGTCCAGCGGGCGGGAGGGAAGGCAGCAAGCCCGGGCCTAGCCACACGCTCTCCCAGGTGTCGCATTTGCAACCTGCATCTGCACTGCGTCCACAGGGAATCCTACACACCAGCACCGGTGAGAAAGTCCACCTGGCACGGAGGAGGGAACCAATGCTCCGAGGGGCCTTGTCACAGCACCTGAGACCCCCCATGTCCTGACAGCCACAGTCATGCCCTCAGTTAGCGCTACTGAGCGGGGACTTTGTGTCTGCCCAGCATGGCAGGTGCATGGAGAGTGTCCCAGCCAGCTTCTGAGGGACCCCGTTCCTCACCCCATTTTCTAGACAAGGACACCAGCTGGCATGGGACAGAAAGAGGCACTCCAGGTCTGGGACCTCCCTGCTCTTCTGCTTCCCATGCAGACTGGGGACCTAGATCCATGCTCCGAGCTCCAGCTCGCAAGACCCCTCTCTGCCTGTCACGTCACCTTCCAGGATTTTTCAGGCGAGGAAGGGACTTTCTAGGGGTCAACTCGTTGTTTGGGTCTTGGGGGCAGAATCAATGTTGGTCTGAGCAATCAAAGCAGCTGCAGCAGGGACAGTCACCATTGCTGCTAATCCCCCACATTCCCACCTGGCCAACTGGCTCCATGAGCCTAAGCTCTGCCAGCTCCTCTCCGTGATGCCACTGTGACTTTCCCCAGGCCCCACGGCTGGTATGCAGCAGGGGCAGGACATAGCGTTCGTATGGGCTTCGCCTGCGGGCCTGTGCTTGCCTGGCTGTCACAGTGTTCTTGGTGATGTGTAGAAGACACTTGGGTTCCCCAGCCTCACTGCAGGGTCTTGCTGGCTACAGTGGTCCCGATGTCAGCCAACATCGGGGTGATGGGGAGGGGGCCGCCACCTCCCGGGCCACGCGAGTGCTCCGTCCTGCGAGCTGCCTATGAGTTTGGGGAGGGTTCAGTTTGCCCTGACCATGACCAGCAGAGGTGGGGTCTGCAGCCAGGGAGATGATGGGGAAAACATGGCACCCAGGTCTCCTGGCCTTGTGGCAGGGCAGAAGCCCAACCTTCTGGGAGCTGGCAGACCCCCGAGCTCGCATCGGTGAGTTAGTCACCGAAGCCCACTGACACTTCCCACCAGAACTCTCACTTCCCACGGTGAGCTCCAGTCCCCGACTCTGGTCTAGATTCTCGCTTTGAGTAACCCCAAGGGAGAAGTCCCAGGCGCTAGGAGCAGTTAAAAGCTAAATTAGAGGATTCCCCCGAGGCATCCGATTCCACTCCACACCCTTAGCTAGAATCATGACTATAATTTTAAAAAGACCGTGTCCTCTCCCCCCAGTATAAAATCTAGTAAGACGCCAAGGGCACTGTGGCCAGGGACTGGCACAGGCTGCACACAAATGTTTCTGTGAAGACAGGAAGGCAGCTGGGGCTCAGGGCAGAGACCCTGCGTGACTGTCCCTGATTTCCTGCTGCATGGGTGCGCGGGGGTGTGCATGTGTGTGCATGAGATTGTGAGTGCATGCTTGTTTATGTTTGCTTACACATGCCCATGGGCGCATGTTGGTATGTGTGTGTGCATGTTGGTATGTGTGCCCGTGTGTGTGTGTCGGTAAGCGTGTGTGTGTCCATGGACACGTTTTTTCATGTGCATGTGTCCACACACATATGTTTGAAGCATGCGTGTGTGTTCATGTGCATGTGTTGGTACGTGTGTGTGCATCCATGTACCTACGTTCGTACGTGTGTGCGTGTGTGCATATGTTGGTGTGTGTGCATGTCTATGTGCGTGTGTTTGTACATGTGAGCATGTCCGTGCATGCATATTTGTATGTGTGTGCACATGTCTCTGTGTGTGTCCATGTCTGTGTGTATGGTTGTGTGCCTGTGCGTGTGCATGTCCGTGTGTGTATATGTGTGTGCAGCAGCATGTGTGTGTGCATGTGTGTGATCGTCACAGTGGCTGGCCTGGAATGCTCGCTGCCTGGGCTTCCTGGGCACGTGCTTCTGCACAGCACCCCGAGTAGCTGCGTAACCTTGGGTGGGCTAGTTACCCACTCCGGGCTTCATGTTTTCGATTGTAAACTGAGGATCAAAAGTAAATGGAGTAATTTAGGGCCGCGACGCAGCACAGAGACTTGCACTGATAAGTTCTCGATACATGTTGGCCCTTAGTCAGGCTCAAGTCCACGTCCAGGCCCAGAGAGCCCAACGAGGACTGTCCCCTTTACCAACCAGAACCGATGGGCAGGCAGCCAACCATCCAGGTGTGCACAGGACTCAGGACTTTCAGCACTGTAACCAGATGGGCACTCCCCCAAATGTGGGCTGCAGCCAGGCGGTACCTGACCTGTCTGTACTGCCGCTTTGGCCCTGTCCCTCTCTTCTTCCCTCCCCACTTCCCCACTCCTTCAGAGTCTACCTGTCCCATGTCCCTCTAGCCGGGATCCAGCCCGCTTGTTGGTGGCAATAGCCCCTGGGTGGCTACTGACAAGCAGACAGGTCCTTCCCCCACGTCCCCACTGTCCTAACCAGGACTCACCAGTCGCACTGGTTCCCCATCAGATGGGAAGATAGAGGATGGCGAGAGACATCTGACTGCACGGCAGGAGGGTGGGCTGGAGAAAACGAGGCAGGTGGGCCTCTCCAGGCCGCTCTTTGAAGCCCCCGCAGGGACTCTGGTGCCGTTGTCGGTCTTTCCTGTGCCCTGCACAGGACCATGCACGCTCAGGTGCAGAAATTTCTGCACAATGAGGGGGTTCAGAGGGGCTGAGCCAATTCACGCAGCAGTCACCTGAGCACACACAGGTGCCAGACACCTTGGCTGGGCACAGGGATGTTCCAGTGGGTCAGCCAGGTTGTATTGGCTGGAGCACTACAAAACATGGCTCTGAATGTCGTGGAAGCCACACGCAGTGGGGGCTTGTGGCTGGAGCTGCGTTTTCTGGCTGCAGGACCACAGCTTGGCTTTCCACATCTGTATCCATGTGTGGAAATGGCCTTTAATCAGGCAGGGAAGTGCCGGGCAATGCTGTGCACGGGGCCTTGCCACCCAGCCCAGGGCCTTTTGGGGATTCAAAAGGTGGCCAGACCTCTCTGCTCCTTCTTTGTCCTTGAGGCTCAGAGCCCAGCCCTGTCCTCAAGGGCCTGCCAGCCGGGTGGCACTAGTGGGGTCTGGGTGGCCCTGGTGCCCCGGAGCCCTTTCTCATTATCATCTGAACCTGGGAGGTGGGTTCGGACAGTCCTCATGCCATGGAAGAGAAAGCGCTCTGACCTCCCCTCCGTCTCCGGGCCTGTCTTGGTGGGTAGATGCCACGTCAGCACACCACGGAATCTGTGCCAAACGCCAGGGTGGCACCCGCCTCTGCTTACCCAACGTGTGATCTTGGGCAAGTCACCTGACTATCCAGTGCCTCAGTGTCCTCATCTGTAAAATGGGACTGCTGACAGCCTCCCCCACAGGCCTGCACGGAGGGTTGAGTAGAACTTAATAGCCGTCGTGTGCTGAGTTCTGTTTGGTCATAGTAACGTGTACAGAAATGTGTGCACTCTCATAGTCATCATCATCATCATCCACAGTTCACAAAGACACATTGAGTAGAACTTAATGGCCGTCGTGTGCTGAGTTCTGTTTGGTCATAGTAACTTGTACAGAAATGTGTGCACTCTCATAGTCATCATCATCATCATCCACAGTTCACAAAGACACCTCTGCTGCTGTGGGGCAGGAACTGGAGGGCATTGGGTGCCATCGTCCAGGCACCTGACGCTGGCTTGGGCTGAGGCAGGAGAAGGGGAGACGGCCAGGTCAGAGGGAGACGTAGCGTCCTGAGCAGAGACGGCATTGCCCCAGGCTCTGTGGCTCCAAACCCCTTACCGTGTCCCCTCCGTGTCTTCTCTGGCCACTCAGCACCCCTCTCTCAAGCAGAGCCTGTTTGCATAAATCCGAACCCAGGGCCCCAGAAACCTCAGCCAGGAACACACATCAGTGTGGCCAGAACCAGCCTTGGGCCAAACCCTGAGGTTCAGCCTCGACGGGAGCCGTGGGAGGCCCCCAGCCTGCCTGTCCCTACCCCCTACCCCCCACCGACTGGTGCTGTGGCACTGGCTGACCTGGCCTGAGCTCTGTGCTGTAGGCAGGACCCACATCCCCCACGGAGGAGCTGGCGCGGTGCAAAGCAGAAGTGAGCCCACCTGGTGGTCCAGCAGTGTCATGACAGGAGGGGCTTTGGGGGGGCTTGGGGCCAGGCTGTGTGGACGGCCAAGGCTTGCTGGAAGGTGAGGGCTTTTCACTGAACATGGGGCAGCCTCAGCCTCTCGCTGTCCCGCCTCTCCCAGACAAGCCCAGAGCCTGTGGCAGGACTGTCCCTATGGGGAAAAGAAGACGGGGCTGAGAGCGGACGCCCCTGCCCGTGTGTGGCCCTGTCTTCACCTGCGGTCTCCCTGGCTCTCCTTTCTTCTCACTGGTGTTCTTCCATCCCTCCCCTACTCCGTCACTTTCCTCTCACTCTGTTTTTTGGTGTTTTCCTTCTCGTTTGTCCTCCGAGTGCTGCTGGTCCAAGGAGGGTGGGAGCCAGCGTACCTGCAGCACCTGCTGCACCTGTCCCAGGTGGGCGGCTCTGGACTCACCTTGCTAGAGGTGCGCCCTCTAGTGGAGTCCGCTGGCACTGCCTGGCCACCTTCCTAAGACCCGCCCTGAGACACCCGTGTCCACCCCACCCCATCACCCACCTCAGTCAAAAAGCAGGGTTGTATGGAGACTGCAGAACCTTCTGGATGTAGCCATTTAGACTTTAGAAGTCACGGGTCTTCACCTGTTTCCTGTACAGATTGAAACGGGTTCTGGAAGGTTCTGGGATGCCACGATTTGCAGTGGGAATCTGCCTCACGCTGCAGCCCCCCTTCCTGAGAACGAAGCCCCAGTCTTGTCAAGCCTGTGGCTGTGGTCTTTGTCCACCCCACGAGTCCCCTCCCTGCCTCCCCGGGGACCCAGGGACCAGGACACCAAGGCTTGCTCCCAGGGGATCAAGGACCTGATTTCCTTGGCGAGAACCGCAGCTGCTGCTGTCTCTCCTGTGCCCCGTCCTGACCCAGAAAAGGGGGCGCTGCTCTTGGAGCAGGGATGGGGCATGGAGCTGGGAGCTCCCTGGGGTGTCCTGCCTGGGAGGGTAAGAGTAGGGGATCGATGAGGCTCCCCAGGTTTATGCCTGGTGGGGAGGCAGGGCCAGGTGAAGGGGCCCACCCCGGGAAGCAGGTCCATCATGGCTGGCTGAGGAATCGGGGTTCCTTTCTCTCCTTCCACATTGTTCAGTGTCCAGTCTTTCCTCCCTTCTGTGGTCCCTGCTCTCTGACAGTCAGTGGCTGCATGAAGGCTTGAGTTACCAGCCCCTTTTTCCCGGTCATTCCCCGTAGAGAGGAGGATGCACAGGGTTCCCACACCAGAAGTGGGGGTGGAAGACATGTCAGCCCCCAGCACTGATATGGTAGAGATGAGGACTGACAGAGTCAGGGCTCACACATGCCAGGGTCCAGACCTCCCTGGGGGAGGCGACGATGCTCCGTGGAGGAGGGGAGACTCCAGGGTGGAGACAGGGCAAGGGTTCCCCTGTGACGTAAGCTGAGAGTGGGAAGACCTGGGAGGGAGCCATGCTCAGAGAAGCTCCTGTCATCGGTGCACTTGTCACTTCTCTGCCTGCAGCCGGGGTGGTCTTGGGCTCACAAAGGGGCACAAACCCCGCTCCAGTCAGCTGGAGTTGTCAGGGACGTATTTCGCACCTGGCTCAACACGGGGGCTCAGCAGTGGGTACAGCACTGTCACTCCACCTCCTGTCCCAGCCGGGCTGCCTGCTCAGGTGCGGTGGGGCTGACCGCTGGCATCTGCCAAGGGCTGCACTCTGATTGTCCTAGCCAGAGCCCCACACCCCTCCCTGAAGCAGTCACTGCAGCCAGCAGGTTGGGACCTTTCTAACCTTCCAGTTCTGCTGTCACCAGTAGATGAGTGGATGGGTTTGACCTCTTCTGATGACCGATTTCTTAGGGTGGGCAGGCTCAGTCTCCCATGCAGGCCGCTTTTGAAAGTGCACATCGAGGTCCTGGGGTTCCTTGCAGATGCTCCTGTGGACTGAGTGTCCTCTGAGAAGATGGGCTTCTTAACTGGTTCCCAGGCTGTGGGCGTGAGTGTCACTGCTTCGGCCAAGTGGCAGTTGGGAGCCAGATCCTGGGGCCCCCGCTTTGTGGGCTCCCCTCTGCCCTGTCTGGCACCCATCAGCCCTGTCCACCTCCGGCCTTGGGCCTGCCCCTTACTCCTTTGGGGAGGAGTCTCCCGTGGCTCCTGTCTGAGTCGACTGCTCTCATGGTGCTCTGGAGCTGGGCTGACCTGCCAGTCTGCTAACTGTGACCACACCCCCTGTCCAGGAGCATCCCTGCTGTCCAGGTGCCTTCAGGGCCCCTTGTGACCTTATTGCTAGGACCAACCTGCAGTCTTTTGATGGAGTTTAATGCGTCAGACACTTCCGAGCACCCGTTACTGCACCCCCAGCCAGTAGGGGGGAGTTGGGATGGTGACGACCCAGCCCTGTGTTCTGGTGGCTGCTTGTCCAGCCTGGGGCATGGTCAGACGTAGGGACAGGAGCTGCCCGCAGAGCTCCCTGTCCAGGAGCATCCCTGATGTCCAGGTGCCTTCAGGGCCCCTTGTGACCTTATTGCTAGGACCAACCTGCAGTCTTTTGATGTAGTTTAATGCGTCAGACACTTCCGAGCACCCGTTACTGCACCCCCAGCCAGGAGGGGGGAGTTGGGATGGTGCCGACCCAGCCCTGTGTTCCGGTGGCTGCTTGTCCAGCCTGGGGCATGGTCAGACGTAGGGACAGGAGCTGCCCGCAGAGCTGCAGCAGCAGAGCCGGCAGGAAGCGAGCGCTTCATCTGCATTTCTCATTTATTCTCCCAGCAACCCCATGTCGTGGGTCGTGTCCCCTCGCCATATACACCTCGTTTTATAAATGAGGAAATTAAGGCTCAGAGAGGTAAAGTGACTCACTTAAGGCCACACAGCCAGGGCAGATCCCCTGGAAGTGAAAACAGTTCAGACTGCCTGCAGCACCCTGCATGGGGCCTTCACCGGCTTCGCTGCCTCCATCTCTCAAGGCAGGTGGGGCGGGTGCATGGGGACGGTGCAGGCTCTCTGTTCATGGAGGGCAAGGGAGAGAGGAATTCTGACCCTGACGTGTGTGTTCTCCTTGAACCCATTGCCCTCTGTTGACCCCCTCTGCTTACCCGCTTGGCTCCAGGTGGCATGGTCAGGGACACGTTCCTGTTGCAGAGGAGCGGAGTCCCCTTGATTGCTGGGTCTCGGGGAGCCAGAAAGGAGGCAGCGCTGGGATGCACAGTGCCTTGTGGGGAACACCCTCATCTCTCCTGCTGTGTGTCTAAGTTCTCGGTCCTGGGCCAAACTGGCCCTGAGTCAGGCTGAGTGGAGGCGGGATGAATGAATGAGTCTACACGCTAGTGCACACGCCGGCGGCTGGCGGGAAATCCTCCCCAGTGCGACCCCAGAGGGGCTGCTCTTGTGTTCTCTGTGTGTCTTTCCTCTCATGAGTCAGCTGGCTGTGGAGCTGTAACTTTGGACAGGAGGTGGTCCTTGCAGGAGTTGCTGCTCCAGCTGTTCTTGGGGTGTTTGGGGATAAGTGACACCCGCAAAGGGGAAGAGCCAGCTCTTCACCATGAGTCCCAAGGTGGATTTTCCTGGCTGTGCACATTGATATGTGGTCAGCCTGGCAAGGAAGAGACACTGAGGCCACACCCTGCAGTGTGACAGAGCTCATATGGGGCGCCTGTGCTCCTAGGATTCTGTGACTGTCATGGCTGTGGCTGTGACTCAGTTGGAGAAAATGCTGGGAGTTGACGTTCCTAGGGACAGGAGCCTGCAGCCTGCCACCTCTCTCGGTGCCCTCAGAGCCCAGGCAAACATCTAAGCTTCCCACCTGTTCCAGAAGAGGCCAGGTGACCCAGCCCACTATCCTGGCCTCTCTGTGCTCCATGTGGGTTAAGGACAAATCTGGTCTTCGGGGTCAGGAAGAGAAACTGGGCGTTCAGTCCCATTTTACTGCTGACCAACAGGAAAAGTTCGGGTGTAATGTGAGCATGCCACAGCCTCGATTTCACATCCGGGGACTAAGCTCCTCAAACACATGGTCGGGGTCCCCGTGCTGAGTAGAAGTAGGAAGTCTGACAGGACACAGCAAGGTCATGCTTGCGTGACTTGTTCAAGTACAAGCCCAATGGCAGGGCATTTATCAGAGCTGCACCTGTAAGCTAATCACAGTGCAAAGCACATGGGGATTCGCATTAGATACCCCACAGTGAGCGGTTGCATCAGCTTCTAGAATTTCATAGATGGGTCTTTGCTTTCCTCGCCAAAAGCTCAAGGCTGCCTCGTGGGCTCGGAGGCCACAGCGTGCGGAGTTTGAGAGAACCACCGTTGGGGACCCCAGCCTCATTGTCATGAATTTGTGGCATGAGTCCACCCCCTCTCTAGATTCACATGTGCTTCCTATTCTGGAACCTTCCCGTGGATGGCCCCAGCCAGAGGGATGAGTTTCTTGTCCCTCTGAACAGTGCCCTCTGGAGCATCGTCCTGAAATGTCTCAGACGTCCTGTCTCTGGGCTCGGTTAGGGTGTGTCTTGGGTCAGGTGTGGAAGTCAGCCTGGAATTGTAGGCTCTTTGGGAAATCAGGGACATAAAGCAAGAGTAGGTGTGAGTTGCACTTGGGAGTGCCACCAGGTGTCCGCTGGAGTGGGCCAGGTGCACAGGGACGATGACTCCTCTTGACGGAAGGGTCTGGGCATTTTCCACCCAGAGTGACTGACACTCACAGTGAAGCAGATAAAATGTCAGACACCAGGTCTCGCCTGCTGCTTCCACCTGAGTCTTTCCTTAAATTGTGGTAAAACATATGTAACATAACATTCGCCATCAACCCATCTATGTAAGTGCACAGTTCTGTGGCACTCAGTGCGTTCATGTTGTCGTGCAGCCGTCACCACCATCCATCTCCAGAACACTTTTCCCAAACAGAAACTCTGTCCCCATTAGACACCAAGTCCCCATTCACCTTCCCCAGCCCCCGCACCCTCCACTCTACTTTCTGTCTCTATGAATCTAACGACTCTTGGGACCTCATGTGAGTGGAGTCACACAGTGTTTGTCCTTTTGTGCCTGGCTTATTTCACTCAGCATAATGTCCCCAAGGTCCATGTACGTTGTAGTGTGTGTCAGAACTTCCTTCCTGTTTAAGGCTGAATAACATCCCCTTGTGTGGTGGACCATGTTTGTTTATCTGTTCACCTGTTCATCTGTCCGTGGACACTTGGGTGGCTTCCACCTCTTGGCTGCTGTGTATAATGCTTAACGTGGGTGTGCGAATGTCTCTTCGAGACCCTCCTTTCAGTTCTTTGGGGGATATACTCACAGGTGGAATTCCTGGGTCTGCTTAAGTCTTTTAACCACAAGTGCTGACCCCCAGACCCGTCCAGTCTTGATCACTGTGTGACATCACAAGTCCCAGCGTGACAGCTAGTGACATGGCGTTTGTTGCGTGGATTGACCACAGTGTGGCGTGTGGCCTGTGACCCTCTTCTCTCTCTGTCCCCCTTGCCTGATATAGGTCACCTTTCGCTCCTGGTGCCAACAAGGACTCGCTCGTGGCCTTGGAGTACCCGGGACCCAAGCGGAAGCTCTACAGCGCTGTGCCCGGGAGGCTTTTCGTCGTCGTCAAGCCATACCAACCCCTCGTCGACGGCGAGATCCCCCTTCACCGTGGTGACAGGGTCAAAGGTCAGTGTCTGCTGGTTGTCCTCTGCTTCTGGGGCAGGGTCAGTCCAGGGCCGCTTGGCCAGCCCGCAAGGTTGGCAGCATCTCAGGTGTCCCTCCAGCTGGGGCCCCATGGAACATACAGAGCCCCGGATGGGCAGGGATGGGGTACAGAGTGACATTCACCGGTCCCCTTCATTCATTCTCGACGGAAGCAGTTGCGGTGTCCCAGATGCTGAGTCTGTTAGGGAAGAACGAGATTCCATCATGGAAGGTGCGGGGCAGCACCAGGCGAGCCCATCGATGGGCAGGGCGCCTTTCCAGCTGGAAAGCCCCTGAGAGCCATGAGGAATGGCTCATCCTCAGTGCTCAGGCAGGCCCACCCTGCCCCGCCCTCGCTGCACGTGTGGCCTTCACTGACTCAGGCTTCTTCACAGCACTGTGGGCACAGCGGGCTGCATGGGAAACCACCTTTCCTGGTATTGCTGCGTTTGCACCCTGCCTCTGCTGTCTCTTTCTCTCACTTCCCCAGGGCTTCCTGGGGTACCGGGGGGGGGCATCCTGGGGGTACAGGGAACGCCTCATGCCTGTCTGAGCTGGTCGTGCCGCTGGCCATGTGGCTTCTGTAAGTCCTGCAAGCCCACGGGTGGAGCCGGCAGGGCCAGGCTGGGCACACAGGGGACAGAGAAGCCCAGCCTGCAGGACCTTCCTGTAGCGCTCCCGCGGTGGGCCTGTTTTCTCCGGCCCCTGCTCCTCTCCCCCCTTCTCTCAGGCGGAACGTGGATGCAGCCCTCTCAGGGCTGGGTGCAGACTCTGTTCTGATACAGCCGGGGAGTGGACAGGAGCCAGCGCGTGCTGTGTGCAGGAGCCACTGCCTAAGTAGCACGGGGCAGCTGTGCTGAGAGTAATCACGGCCCTTCCCAGCAGCTCAGCCCCCGAGTCTATATCCTCTGCCACTTGGGAGCCGGGAGGCTGGGGGCTCGTGGGAAGACGCAGCTCACCCAGGCTGCAGCCCGCTCCCATCTCTGCCATGGCCCCACCCACCCTGTGACCCCAAACGTCACTGGGGTCTCCCTGCTCAGCCCAGGCTCTGAAATCAGCTGAGCTCCCTGCCCACAGCCCTGGGCCTTCATCCCACGGGGAGCCACGTCACCATCCACACCCCAGGTCCATATGGGGCTCTGATCAGATCCAAGCCTTCAGGCAGAACCCAGACAAGCCTGCAGGACCTTCTTAGGGACCCGCTGGCCAGTTAGTTTTCTGAAGACCTTGGGTCCTTCTCCATCAAAGCGGAGAAGACAGCAGGAGGGGATGAAGGTGGAGACTAACGTGTGAGCCGCTGTTGACTGGGCCTGGTGCTGGCTTCGTCACAGACATTCTCGTGTGCAAACTGCACCGAGGTTGCAGGTATCGGATCCCGTTTATCGTCAGCTCAGCTGCCGTAACTGGGCACTGCAGACGTTCATTGTCTCACAGTCCTGGAGGCTGGAAGTCCGATATCCAGGTGCCGCAGGGCTGGTTCCTTCTAAGGCCTCTCTCCCTGGCTTGTAGACAGCGTCGTCCCCCTGGGATCCTCACATGGTCATCCCTCTGTGTGTGTCTACGTCATAATCCCCTCTTCTTATAAGGACCTCATCCTGTGGGACTAAGGCCCAGCCTACTGACCTCATTTTACATTAATTACCCCTTTAAAGCCGTATCTTGAATGCAGTCACATGCTGAGGTTCTGCAGGTTAGGGCTTCCACGTATGGATTTGGGGAACACAGTTCTGCCCAGGACAACCATCTCTTACAGATGTGTACTCGGTTCATAAGTCTCCACGCTCCCACGTCTGACTCAGCCCGCGCTGGCCTCTCCACCAGCTCTGCCTCTCCTGTCCCCCACATTCATGCTCACTCTCATGGTCTGCTGGTGCCACATTCCCAGTCTGGCGGTGCCCTTGTTCGTGGTCTTGACATTGCTTGAAGGGACAAGAGGTGGAGACACATGTTCCTCTGTTGGCCGCGTGGCGTCCCACTGGGTGTTCCACCTACAGATGGACCCATTCATCCTCAGTTCCCAGTCATTGACCATCAGGGACCCTGAAGGTGTCAAGGTAGGAGGAGGAACCAGGTGTGGCCACTGCCCCCGGGAGCCCAGGTGTGACGTGGGGTGCACCAGGTGTCCTGGCTTGGATTCTCAGGCACAGACCCACGTCAGGCTCCTGGTGAGAGTGATTTGCTGAGCATGTGCCCTCCGAGCCCTGTGAGGACCAAGATAAACAGGATGAGGAGCCGGCAGGGATGGTGTCTTGGCTGGAGATTCTTCCCAGCCTGCTCCCGAGGGAAGCTCTGGAGCACGGATCATGCCCCAGAGATTGTCCTGCCTTGTCCCCTCCTGTCAGCTGGCTGCTGGCATAGCAGAGTGGGGCTCCCATTGCAGAGAGGCCGTCCAGTGGAGAAGGGTCAGCTGGGGGCCATTAGTGGCCTGTTCTCAGCAGCTGTTGCAGGGGCAGCACATCTCCTGGTCAAGTGGGCCTGGGTGGGGCTCCAACAGTGTCTGCTGCCCTGGGCACGGCAGGAAAGGGTCACATGAGTGCCAGGGAAGGCAGAAGACTGAGAAGGCTGTGGCAGCAGGACTCGACGACAGCACTTAGAGCCAGTGGTATTGGGCAAGGTGGACAGAGGTCAAGAGAGGACCGAGTGAACCCCACATGGAGGGGCCTTTGTGTATCTACTCAGTAGCCTAGGAGAGTCCTGGTGACCACACCATGTGCCACCCTCTCCTGCCACCCTTGCTTCCTTCCCTGCTGCCTGGATAAGTGTTTGGCCTAGCTGTCAGTCACTGTGTGTCCCGCGGGGCCAGCTGTCAAGATTCCAAGTGTGGGGCTTTTTAGGGCTGCCCTTATCGCTCCCTGAGAGGCCTTTTCTGCCGACTTGCCCTGTGGGAGCCGGTGGTCATGGAGCATGGGTGGCTTGCAGGTCAGGCTTGCACAAGGAAGAAGGTGGAGAGGGGAAGGTGGCTGTCTTGGTGTCGGTCCCTGGAGAGAGAGCCATCTTGATGGGGCGTGCATGTGAGCCTGTGTGTGTGCTTGTGCATGTGTGTCTGTGCATGTGAGTGCTTGTGCACGTGTGTATGTGTGTGTGCACCTCCATGCTGCATCCTGCCTGACTCTGGTTGTCTCTGGTTGCATTTCCTTAGAAGGGCTGGCATTTATGGTGGTTCCTGTTCTCTAACACCCATCCCTGCTCCAGAAAAGAGCTTCTCCCAGCTCTGGGCTGTGGATTGCACAAGGCGCCCCAGCCCAGTGAAGATGAACCCAACAGGGGCTGACCAGACACTCCTTCCTGAGGTCAGTCCTGAGCTTTGGAGCAACAGAGATGTCCAGGCCACGTGGGCGGTTACCAGGCAGCAGGCTTGAGGCTCGGCCTGAGCTAGGATCAAGGCTCACCCTCTGCAGGAACTTGACAGCTGGGGTTTCTTCATTAGAAACATTTTATGCCATTGGTCTGCACACTGGAACCACCCCCTTGGCCTGAGTGGAAGCCAGGGAGCTGCTCTGCACGGGAGTAGGAGGGGCCCTCCCAGCTCTTCCTATCTAGGCCTGTCCCCGTGGTAGAGGAAGATCCTGAGGCCCAGAGGGGCCAGAGGTGGGGAAATTGCTCCCATGCGGAGTCCCCCTAGAGCTCATCGGGGTGAGGTCTTACACCTCCTGGGGGTTCAGTCAGGCTCATCTGGCAAGTTTGAAGTGGGCAGGGGCCTGTGACGATGATCACAGAGAACAGGGACCTGCATTTTGTGGGAATTGCTCAGGCAGACAGACCAGCCGCTTCCAGAGTTAGGAACAGCTGCCACCAAGCCCGTGCACTGCATCCTCCTCAGCCGTGTCTCCAGCTCCTAGACATAGAGCAGGGGCCAGGGGGTGGGTGTTGAATGGCTGAGAGTGGACTCACAGGGGACCCCGAGTTTTCAGCCTGGATGAGTGGGAGGTTGAAGGAAAGAGGGGAGCCAGGGAAGAGAAGGCGAGCCCCTGCCAGAGCTGCCCAACTTGAGGCGAGGTGGGCTTGAGGCAGCCACAGACCAGGGGCCGTGGGAAGGGGGTCGAGGCTGAGATGTGGATCCAGAACTCGGAGGGGTCATAGGATGGGCAGGATACCCCAGGAGATGGCATGAGAGAACCCACATCTTACACTTTATTCCTGTCAGCTCTAGGGGCCTTAGAGCTCCCCCGGCTCCCTGAGGTTCTACAGACAATCCAGAACAAGGAAGGAAGGAAAGTCACATGACTTCCTGGCCAGGACCTCAGGTCGAGGCCTCCTTGGCCTGTCTGGCCCGGTTCTTTCCCCTGCACCCCCCACCAGCACACAGGAGTCGAGCACAAGCCCCCACCCCCCCCAAACATCGTGAGCAGCGGAGCCCACCCCTCGCTGCAGGCGCGAGGAGCCGGTCTGTCTCCCAGGGAGCACAGGAACGGAGACGCACAGCTCCAGCACTCACACCTCAAAGGATCGATGGCAGAGGCTGCTGTTCTGATAGGAGAGGCGTGTGGGCTGCGCGGGCCATTTGCACATGCTTGGCGGGGAGCCCCGTGGCGCTGGCGGCTGGGAGCTCTGTCCCTGTGCCAGGCTGTCAGTGCCTTGTCTCATTAGCAGCCCTGCATCCTGCATCCTCGCCGCCTGCCTGGCACTTCTTGGAGACGGGAGGGTCGAGGGTGTCCTCCACCTGCAGAGCTGGGGCTCTTGGAGGAATTCTGCCTCCTCAACTACAAAGGAACCCCCGCAGAGGCAAGAGACGTGGCTGCCCAGCTGTTGGGGGCAGGAGGTCGGAGGGGTTTCCAGAGAAACCAAACTTCCTCCTTGCTCGGGAAGTCGGGTCCTGGCAGCAGGCACACAGGGTGGCTGTGGTGGCTCCGAGGGTGGTCCTGGGGTCCTGCTGGTGGCACTGTAGCTCCCGGCTCCTGCACAACTCTCTTTATATCCAGACCTTTTCTGCTCAGCCCCTCGAGAACAGGGGTTACCGTTCCCAGTAGGCACTTGGATACTATGCAGCTGGGGGAGCGTGCCTCCAGCATTTCACTCCTAACATGTGGGTCGCCGAAGGACAGGCCTGTGCCTATTGATTCCCCTGGTGACCCTCCTTTCTTCTGAACTCAAGGGCTCTTCTTTGTCCCTCACTGTGCCTGGTACTTTCTTCCCTCCACTTCTGGGTCGATCTTTACATAGGAGCCAGCCGCTGGGCTCCCAAGCCAGAGGCTCCTGTCAAGCTGTACATCTCCAGGTGCAGTTTCTCAGCCTGTATTCCCTGAGGTCCCCCCTCTCAGCCATGCGGGGAGCTTGATCACCATGCAGAGCTCATGCCCACCCATCCCCAGATCTGTAGAACTGGAATCCCCAAGGACATGAGCTGGGAATCTGAACATTTAACAAGCTCTCTAGATGATTTTGTAGTTCCTGATTGTGATGGATGGTGGACCCCTTGTGGGCCAGGAATGTGTCTTGTTCTTGTTTGTTTCCCTTGTACATGGTATGGTGTTTGGAATGGGATGGATGATGGATGGATGGATGGATGAAATGGTGGATGGTGTATGAAATGGGTGGATGGATGGACAGATGAAATGTGTGGATGGTGGATGGATCAATGGTGGATGAAATGGATGGGTGGATGTGTGGATGGATGGATGGGTGGATGTGTGGATGGATGGATGGATGAAATGGATGGATGGTGTATGAAATGGGTGGATGGATGGATGGATGGACAGATGAAATGTGTGGATGGTGGATGGATGGATGGATGGGTGGGTGGGTGGATGGATGGATGGATGGATGGATGGATGGATGGATGGATGGTGGGTGGATGGATGAATAGATAGATGGATGGATGGATGGGTGGATGGATGGATGGGTGGGTGGATGGATGGATGGTGGATGGGATGGATGGATGGATGGATGGATGGATGGATGGATGGATGGATGGATGGATGGATGAATGGGTGGGTGGTGGGTGGGTGGATGGATGGATAGATGAAATGAATGGATGGATGGTGGGTGGGTGGATGGGTGCGTGTGGGTACAGCAGGGTGGGGAGTGAGCGAAGGTGTGGATGGATGACTGACTGACGAGATGAGCCTCCTAGACTGTGGAGGGTGTTTTTTCTTCCTCACACTTACACCTTCATGCTTTCATCCTGCTTTTCCTCCGCACAGACTTGCAGCTGTCCCATGTCTCCCCCATCTACTCCTCATTCAGGACTCAGCTGACAGGCCCCTTCCCCTGGGAGTCTCCCCACCCCACCTGCCATGCCCCTCTGCCCTTAGGCCCAGACTGCACAGGCCCCCCATGCAGCACCTATGCTGGTGAACGTGGTCATTTTGGGGGTTAGTTTATTTAACAGTCTTGCATTGAACCCCAGCTGGTGCCTGGCCATGCTCAGGGCCTGAGGAAGCAGGGATGATTGTCCCTGCTTGCTGGGAGCTCCATTTTAGTAGCCAGGAAAAATAAGCCCACAACACAGCATTGCAATTGCTGGGGGTCTCGGGACCCTGGGATCAAGCTCTTCACTCAGTCCGAAGGTGTGAGAAAAGCTTCCCAAACAAGGTGACATTCGAGCAGAGCGTTGGCAGCTAAGGTGTGGGAACGAGTAGGGCCAGGAGCCGAGGACACTGGGCACAGAGCAGGAGAAGGACCAGCACGGGGGCCTGCGTGGACGTCCCCAGTGGCTGGGCATCCCTGAATACTCTGGGCAGACATTCCTGGGCTCACAGCAGCAGACAGCAGGTGGGATGTGTGGCTCAGAAGTCTCGCTCAGTCCACACCTCTTCAGTCGTGGTCCCTGGCTCTGGTGGCAGGTTAGAGGTGCGACGAGTAGGGGAGGTAGCTACCTCATCTTCCAGGTGAGAGCGGAGGGGACAGCAGCACAGGTGGCATTTAGGGAACTCTGCCAGGTGAACTGTGTTGATGGGATGGCAGGCCAGTTGGAAAGGTCGTGGAGAGAATGGAGCCTGTTTACCCTCTGGGCCATTCGGGGGATGGTGGGTGAAGCCACTTGCCAATTGCCAGGATGACGTGCTCAGTTTGGGGAGAGTTTGCTGTGCCAGTCCAAAAGATGCCCAGTGCAGATCTGCACACACAGATGCAGAGCTTGGCAGAGAAGGGCCAGGCCCCACCTAGCATGAGGATTTAGGTGTGGTGGAAGCCACTAGAATAACTGAGCTTGGCCAGGACGTAGCATATGGAGCCAGAAGAGAAGAGGGCCAGGGACGGAGGAGGGGGACAGGTGTTTAGGAGACCTCCCCCCAGACAGCTCCTGGGGTGTCCATCCCCTGTTCCTGAACCATCTTTGTGACCCCAGAGCCCAGCATGGCTCCTGACCCACGTAAGTCCTGGCCAATTTAAACTGAAGGAAGCAAATGTTCCAGAAAGCCCATCATGGCTTGAAATTGAAGATGGCCCAGGGATATGTTCCAAACAGGGGGACTGGTGCAGAATAGGGGGAATGTTGGGTCTCAGGTTCCCCTCAATGACCGGGCTGGTTTCCATGCCCAGGCAGGTGGGGCATAGCAGGGGGCCGGGGTAGCCACCCCTGCCCAAGCTGACCTAGGACAGGGAGTCAGTGCTGTTTTCCAGTTTGCAAGAGAAAGCCTGTGGGTCTCCGGAGGGGAGAGGTCCGCTGTGGTGGCTGCAGGCTTTCCCCGACCAGTTTGTGTCAGCTGCCACCTCAGGAAGCGTGTTGGGCCTATGGAGAGTGAGCGGGTGCACCACGTGGCCTCACTGAGGTCTTGCAGCACTGTCTGTGTGGAATAGACGGAGCACTGGGGCCCCATTCCACTGTGTGTATCCTTCCCCGGGCAGTGATGCTCTAGGTGTGATGCTTTCCCCCGCTCTCTATCCGGCCACATCTCTTTACACCGTGTGATGTACAGAGGCACCTCGGCTTACAATGGGGTGATGTCTCAATAAAATCATTGTAAGTTGAAAGATCGTAGGTTGAGGGCCGGCCTGGTGGCGCACTGCTACAGTGCGCCGCTTGGGAGTGCGGCGGCGCTCC